TTCGTGACTTTTACTTATTTTGTCAAAATTCAAAATTCAAACGCTTATAAAAATTTGTTGTCAAAATTGTATGGGTTATAGAAAACCACGTTATAAGTATTCGGTAAAAATGTCATGTATATCTACGGTATTTTTTTTTTTTTTGAAAGTTACATCAAAAATCAAAATCGATTTTGTCAAAAACCGGGTTTCCGTAAGAATTCGCTTTTTTCCTTAATTTTTTTGTTTGTTTTTCCTGCCGCTTTTGAAAACTATTGAGAATTTTTTACTTTTGACCCCTCAAAGTACCGATACTATTCACATTTCTACCAGAAAAGATGCTTGTTGAAGAAAATCTAAGCACTTTTACTCTCCCAAATTAATATGATGATGACAGAAACAAAAAAAATAAATTGTAAAATGAATACATTCATCGCTCCGCTCGGAATCTAAAAGAAGTTAAAAAATTAAAATTGACATAACTTTAATGTTATAACTCGTATACACCCAGGTTTAAATAACTATAACATTTTAGAATCTTGTGTCTATTTATTTCATTATTATTTGTTATATTATATAAAGATACCTATATATTAGTATAAAAGTATATTTTTCATAATCATTCGCACGGTCGTACGGGGTGATTACTTTTTAGGATAGTGAGCTTACCACTCTGTGAACATTTTTATTTTTTGATACAACTATAATATAATTTAATATTTGTATATTATAATAGAACAATGAAATATATTTAACACTAAATTAATAGTATCCTGTAACTGCTAACTTTGGATTTAAAAAAAATTATAAGTTATAAATTAAAATTGTGTCTTATGAGTAATCACTTATAACGGGTAACTATTTCTAAATTAAACCGTATAATGAATGTCTATTTCAAGTACTTAAAAATATGTTATAATTATAAAATTACCCTACGATCAGGGAGCAGACAAAGGACGACGACGAGCGGCGTTTGTGTATTATTTGATCTCTCGTATTTGGTCTCAGAAATAAAATATGTGTATACATAGGGGTAGCGTATTTTTCATGAAATTAAATTTTTATTTAAAAAATAAATTTAAGCACCAAAAAAGTATGAAACCAAAATTGATTACTTTAAACATCGACGCTTTCGGGCTTCGGCGGAATTCCTGATATTGTGTGTGCACTGCGGAATAAATCAGAAATACGACTGAACTTAAGTCTTAAAATATTGAGATTTATTATGAAAAAGAAAACCGTACGGATCGCTTCATGTTTCTTGTTCATGTCTGCAGCTATTTTATAACTGTCATTTTAGATCGATTGCGTCTTTGCAACTACTTCGACAATCGCCACGGATTGCATTATAATTTATACTACGTCAATATGATAAAACCATAGATATATAGTATATTACAAAATTGTATATCAAGGAGGTCCGTGTTTGAGATTTGATCATTATATAATGACATGAGATATAACAATAACCAAAATAGTTTATAATTTTAAAATTTAAGTTACAGCAATATATAAAGTATACCTATTATTTTAATTTTTAATTTAATAATTAATCAAGGTGGTGTTTAAATTTTCGAAGCACAAGCATATTTTTTTATGAATTATTAAATAAAAATCTTATTGTAAATAAATATGATTACTATACTTTTTAAATTTAACATAAAGGTATTCAGTGCCTAATGCATCACATTTACCGTATACCGACTATACCAACTATAGTTTGTAAAATTCCAAGTCAAATCTTTTCTCTGAATACTGTCGAGCACGAAATTAATAATTAATATTTTATATATTAATTTTGAGTGCATTGGTTAGGTATATTTTAAGCTATTCGAGAATATTTAAAATTTTAAATGTCCTTATTTAATTTCCGATGGACATTCAATAATCAGCAGAGCGACTTTCCCAGCTTTATAAAATAATTTGATGTTTGATGTACGACGGCGTCGCTTGAATTAGCGGTTCGACCACAAGCAGACGGCATAGTAATATTCATATTTTATATATTACTCAACATTTATATAAACTAAAAAAAAAATTGTTGAATTTTGGGGGACATAAGAACTCCCGTGTACTGTACTACTGTAGTATTACTAGTATGTACAACACTATTTATATCTTCTTATTATTTTTTACTCTGTATGGAATTGATTTGCAAAATGATAACATAACTTTCAAAAAACTTGGTCATGGTGTTGGGGCCTCCCAGATTTTTTCATCTTTTGTCCAGTTTTTTTTTTGTATATTTTTTCCAAGTTCCAACGATTATACATAGTATAAAGCGTTAGACCAAATAACTATACATTTTTTCAGGAAATGTTCGACAATTTAAAAACATACAATTCATGATATTTTAATAAAATAATAAAAGTTAGATATAAAAAGTAAGGTTTGCTAAATTTTAACTTTGGGGGTGCTAAAAACCTTTTTGCGCATCGCCCTAGTTGCGCCACTACGTACCTATAACTAGTGTAGTCTATAAAATATAATACAATATAATAATATAAAACTTATATAGCACGGAGGACTAGTAATAATATAAAATAATACATAATATAGTGTTTAACTTGCGAACTGAACGTACCACTACACTGTGACATTACGTTTTAATTATTGATTGTTATAATTTTATCGGTATCTCAATTAACTGGTTTGAAAACTAAAATCCTTTATGTTTGAAAAGGGCCCCCCAAAAATGATAATGGGGCTCTTTGGGAGCGTAGTGAACCCCCATCATCCCCGCCAATTGCGGCGCTGTTTGTAACACGATGTGTGCGCCGCATTTTAAAAGTCGCACACTCGTGTTATGGAGCAGGAGATGGTCTATAGAGCCTCGACTAACTACCACCACCCGTGTATAGCAGTACACTGTACAACAACTACATAGCTGCAATAAGTAATAACCAGTACAAGGAGCTGAATCGTCATACCCGGTTACTGTAATACTGTCTAAACACTAAACGGTAAACTATTTGAATTATTTTCATATTTATTTAAAGTTTTATTACTCCAAAAGGGATAATGAGTAGGTACTGCAGTTGTTAAAGTTTTTCAAATGATAATATGTCATAAATCTAAGTATTATTAAGTAGGTGTATACAATCAGAATTATAGAGATAGAAAGAAACATATACATGTAAATGTAATTGTTATTCATTATTACATTTGATTCTGAGCATAACAAAGATATGTGTTTTTTTTTCTGTCATCAACTTTTGGGGTAGTACCTACAACCTATCATGACGAATGCTCCGATTTTCTTCTTCTGCATCTATTCTGATACTAAATTATACTTTAATTTATGTGCAATTTTTGACTAAATTAATCAAAATCTCCAAAATTTGCAAATTAATTTGATGTTAAAAATGTATAAAATGTTAATTTTTTATGACTAAGGATTGATGATTGAAAACAATATCAAAATTGACACTGACTTTTCTTAGTGAGCCAGACCCCCTCAGACAGGTCAACAAGGGGGAGGGGACATTCTAACGAGCCCACAACGGATGTCAAACAATATAGTGGGCCCTTGGCCTTGATGGGTAGTATGTTTTCTATAATATATGTTATTATTATTATAATTATTATTATGCTATCGTAATCATATTATCCTCTATTTTTAGCAGGAAATCAAGATGATCATGATAGGGCAATGTGATTTAAAATAATTTTTTTTAAAAAAACATATAGTCATCACAGAATAAATAAATGATACTATAACCATTCATTTAGTTATTACTGAATTTAATTTACATTATTTTTGAACGAAAGATTTGTACAGTCGTCAGTTGAAGTCTTAGATCATATACTAGTTTAACTAGTATATGATCTAAGGTTGAAGTCATATTATACTCATATAACTTAACAGTTGGCAGTGGCCTGGGCGTCGAGATAACGTTATAATAGTGTGGGATGCTTACGTTTTTATGTTAGTGTTTTGTTGTACAAAATATATATGCATCGAATTATATTTATTCAATAATATTCATGTAATAATATTAAAATTATTTTTTACCTTTAAAATATATTTATTTGTGGGTCATCAATATTTTGATTATGTTTATGGGCCTCTAAAATTGTTTGAACCCGGGCCCAAACGTGTCTTATATACGTGTACCCAAAAGTTCTCCGATTTACTAGGTAAAATCATAAAATACCTTTTATTTTAAGTGCCCGGACGTTCTATTTATTTGTACTAAAAAGTGTTGGCTTTTGGGTTTATGTGCCCAAACGTTCTGCTCCCGTCCATATAAGTACCTAGTCACTCCCGTAAGTGACGCTCTAGCGCCTAACTGACCGTGTGAGGGCCGCTTATAGTATACAACAGAGAGTTATCCACATAGCCGCTTTTTGGAATTAAAAGAAAACAAAACAATTGTTCTACGAAAATTTCTTAATTTACAAATGAATAACAAATTTTTTAAAATTCGAAAGCTCATAAAAAATTAATTTGACTCCGGTGAGCCTTTTTTTATTGCTACATGTGGGAAAACTTATAGGGAATTTTGTATTAAATTCTCTAATCTTAAATGTACCCGCCTACAGACAACATTTTTTATAAATTTCTAACCCAAAATATTTTGAAAATTTTAGTTATTTTGATGAATTTTAATGAAGTTGAAAATCGAAGCCTATTATCGACTACTTGCATATGCAAACAAAGTTGGGAAAAAACAAGAAAAACATAATTGTAAAATCGCTAAGCTCAAAATCTAAAATTGGATACTTATCGATAAGGCATAGTTAGCTGGGAACCGACTCTAATCAAATGATTCGGTTACTCGGTAATCTGCATGCTATATAGCTGAATTAAATGTAATTAATTAAATTGTAATTTATCATATTATGGTAGTCTGTACGTTTCTTTGGTATCCCGCCAATGTAACATTTTAAACACCCAATGTTGTACCGATACGTATCGATACACCAATTTCTTCCTTGAATATCTCGTATGTCTATTATGTGGTTCAGTGGTTGGCCACACTGTAAACTTATGCTTATCCACAAACTTCATAACCTCAATTTTGCCACTGTTGACGGCCCTCTCTTTCGTGTTCCGTTTTTTCCACTTTAGTGTTTCGGAAGAATCTAAATAACAATTATTTAGTTCTTTCATTTTAAAATACTTTCTTAAGTTTTCCATCAAGTACCCTAACATCATACAAAATGACTGCTGACAAGAAAGTTAAAGTAAAGAAACCCAAGGTAATGTAAACTAGAGTTTGGTAGTTGTAAATCTCGAAATTAAATCAAGAACGATACACGTGTATTATTAATGCTTTTAAATGTTGTTACACAACTTACCATCGTGAGATTAATGCAATAAATCAAAATTCGTATTAAATTGGTTTTAATTGAACATTCAATATTTTGCAGGTGAAGAAAACGCCAATTCAAAGCGTACAAGTGTTCGGCCGTAAGGTGTGTATTATACTTAATTTGTGGCATTAATTAAGATTTTAAATTTAATATTATTGTGATGTAGGTAATACGTCTCGTAACGATTTTTTATCTGTTTTGTAACCTTTCGTTTTTTCAAATGATGGATTCATTAGAACTCCTTTTATACAACTGTATACCTAAACATATATTGATAAGAATATATTTTAGTGTTTTGTGCTTTGAACTAGGCACTTAAATATTGCATATCATCAATCAATAAGTGCTAAGCCTTTATGTAGGGTTGTTCGATTTCGCTTGGACACTATGGTTTTTAGAATACAGTTTTGGTGTATTTTGAATTTAGCTGAGATATACAAATACTGATTTCCATATATTAATTCTGTATTGATTATTAATTGTTGTATACTTTGTATACAGGTAAAAATTATATATTTTGTTATATGTTATTATATGTTCAATGAGGATTGGCTTAATTGTGAATTTTTTTTTATACATCACTGACACATTGGCTGGCTGGGTACTACAATACTAGGTTGTAATACTATACCCTGGTGTATGGTGTATCTCAACAATTTACTACTGTCAGTCTGCTTGTGACTGAAGTCAGAGTAATGTGATCATTGCAATTTCCAACATCCCAGATATATTTTTGGATGAATTGAAACCCTATTTATATGGGTACAATTTACTAAAATATTTTTAGTTGTAACTTCTGTTTGTTAAACCAAATTATTTTTATTTTTGGATGCTAAATATTAAATAATTGACTGGTTTTTGGTTTCTATTTTGGGCTTTAAATCATTCTCTCTTCTATCAGACTTGCATTTATTATTTTCAATATTCGATTTATACTTCTGATCACAATTTAAAGTTTATATTTTTTTTCTGCTTTTCTTAAGACTTGATACCATATTAATGATTTGAAAGCAATAAGCTATGGTGATCATATAGTTTGGTTTGCTGACTTAATTGTATTTCTAATGTATAAAGTTGTGTGTTAAAATTATTTTTGAATTCATCTTACCTACTGTTTCAGTAGTTAGCTGTTAAATGCTTAGGATACTAAGCTATATTTGTATTTATTCTTTTTTTCCTTTCAAGCATTAGGAAAAAAATACGTGATACCTAGTGTCTTCAATAAACACATGTTTTGTTTTTATATTTTATAGAAAACTGCCACAGCTGTAGCTTACTGCAAAAGTGGTACTGGTAACATCAGAGTGAATGGCCGTCCATTAGATATGGTTGAACCTAGAGTTCTTCAATACAAAATTCAAGAACCCATTTTGTTGTTGGGCAAAGTAAGTATATTAAATCAAATTCAGTGCTGATATGTTGTACCTATTGAATTGTGTAAATTTAAAATTACTTTTACAGGATCGTTTTAATGAAGTTGATATGAGAGTACGTGTCAACGGTGGTGGACATGTCGCTCAAATTTATGCTATCAGACAAGCTATTTCCAAGGCCTTAGTTTCATATTATCAAAAATGTAAATAGCCAATTAACAATTCTATATGTTAAGTGTTAATCATTTTAAAAATATTCCGATTTATTTTTAATAGATGTTGATGAAGCCAGCAAGAAAGAAATTAAAGATATCTTAATTCAGTATGATAGAACATTATTGGTTGCCGATCCAAGACGTTGTGAACCTAAGAAGTTTGGAGGTCCAGGAGCTCGTGCCAGATACCAAAAATCATACCGTTAATCTTTTTTTTTATACATGTATATTGACTTTAACAATATATGTAAACTGAAAAAATATTGTTTTTTTTTTTTATGAACACATTTTTTAAGAGAATGTCTTCAGCGCACTTATTGTTTTCTCTCTGTCTCAATGCCCAACAATGCTAATTTACATTCAGTATTACCAATTATAAAACTGATGTTATTAACACATTACCCGTGTCCCTACGTTAGCTTTTTTATGTAAGTTATGAGCATGCAAATTGTTACAGTTTGTTAATGCTTATGAATTGTATTAAAATTAAATTATTGCTAAAAGCCAACGTACAGACAAAATAATATTCTTAGGTAAAAAGTTGATAGTATAAAATACTCTGTAATATTAAAAGTAACACCACATGGCTGGTTCTGCCGTTCTGCTAAACTTAAATTTGCTGTTGCACTGGAACCAGACAGAAAACAAATGGTCCTGTTCAGAGGATCCTATATGTAGTCGTTATAAAGTATTCTGTGTAAGTTGACGCATAAAAAAACAATGAATATTTTTACAATTTGTATATTTTTGTTCAATATGTATTTTTATTGTGGGCCGTATGTTTAAGACCACTGACCACAGCAGTTGCCCAACCTTTAAGTACTTGCGGACCTCTAAAACCATATTCTAAATTCTAAGGACCATGTGCACGTATAGCTTTTTACATAAATACCGTTCCACTACTGATACATTTTACATCTAATTAATATGAAAAAATACAAAAGTAAAATAATAAAAAAAGGTTTATTTATTTCATGCAATTTTGGCTCCAATGTAGCCACTACAAGTCGTAGAGCTTTACTTATTTCTAGCTGATTTTTAGATATTTTTCTGTGGACCACCGATTACTGCTGCTCTAGATTATAATCTTACCTTAAGATTTTATAAGAGGAAGAAAATGTATTTATTTCAATTGTGTTACTTTTCATTGTTTATTAGTCTATTAAAAATAATTTTTTTTATCTTAATAATAATCAAATAATCTCAAGTAAATTGTCGTATACTCAAACATTTGATACAGCAGCATAGGTAGGACAATCGGTAGTCCAAGCACCAAGCATAATACAATAATATTGTTATTTTTTTGATCTAAACAAGTTTAATATATATTTTATGCATGATCTAAATAAAATCTAAATAATTGACACTATAATTTGATTGTGTCCAAGTAAACAAGCCTATTTTTTTAGAACAGGTTAAAATAAGGTTCTAACTAAATCATTGGTCAACATAAAATTAAACCATTAATTCACTAATCAACTTGTAAAAACTCATTAGATTTTGAACAAAGTGATGAATTTATTGAGTTTTCAATGTTTTTATTGATCTGAAGCCCAACAACTATAGCCATTTATTAGCTGTTTGTAGGTTTATTACTGTAGGGAGGGTACAGTTGGTTAGAACACGTGTCTTGAGTGGCAAGATTTTGTTATTAAAACCCCGGGAACTAGTGACACCGGCTGATGCTTGCATTCAGAAATGAAACGTAACTGAGTACAAGTGTACAACTACCATATCACACCAGACCTTTTTACAGTAGAAATCATAGGCGTGTCCGGATCTCATTCGCAGTTCAAGCACAACAGTGGATATCCAAGAGAGGGGAAAATTACACCCCTCTCGCATCGCCAATAAAAAATTCTGTCGGGGTATTGGGATATGGCCCCCGAATTTAAAGAAGTTTTTAAGGCAACACGGACAGGTCTATGGTAGAAATAAGGCATTGGTTTCAGCTTCGACATCTCGGCTGGTTGGAGTGAAATCTCGGTGGACTTTTTGGGGGATCAAATTAGAAATTCCCATGACTAAAAATAATAGAGAAAAAAAATAAAGAAATAATGATAACTGATCGTACTATCAACAAAATTGATTTTTTTATTTTGTTACAATCAAAAACAAATAACCGAAAATATTTGACATTTTCAACAACTGTTTAAATCATCATTTAATTTACATGGTACTGTGTTTTTCAAAATATTTTCTTCCTCGATCTGTAAATTTAATACAAGGTTCCTCAGTTCTTTATACTAAAATTAAAAAAATTTGAGAGCAATTTGACATGATATATATTTTAGATTGATTGAGAATGAAAATGAATGATCCTAAGAACACATCCAATAAAACTAATTTACATTTCATTGATTTTCATTAACATTAATTTTTTTATTCATACATAGTACATATATAATTACATAAAGAAATACAAACATTAATAATAGTTTTCGAAAAAAAATAATTTATCAAACATAAAGACTTAAACATAGTTATAGTGTAATAATAGTAGTGCAATATTATTGTAATTGTGACATGTTATGTTTTCACTGTAAATATCATTAGAGCAATCAATTTTTACATGGTCAATTTAAAACTAGATTAATTATACAAATGGTGTAATACACCATAAAAATTCAATAATTAAAATATCACAGAAATTGTCAGTCAATTCATTTCATATTTTTAGAAGTTGTAAAGTTACACATTAACGAAGATTATAAAGTTGTATAATTGTATCATACACATTTTTATTTAACAAGCAGCTGTTTATCAAACACTTCAATGTATTAATGTCGTCTATGGCACACAGCTTATCCCATACAATATTATCACCTACAATCGATTTGAAAATGACAATTTTTTTGGATAAAATTGCAGACAATTCATTTTTTGGTTTCCATTGCATCAAACTCATACAGCTGGTTAGATAATCTGCAGATCCTAACACTAAAATGATTGACATCAGTAACTCTTCAAAGTATGGAGAACCTATAATTAGAAGATTTAAAAATGTTCATTATTAATTTAAACTGTAGCAATGTTCATGAATATAATATTGTACTTACGAGGTCGGCTGTCATTCAGATACTCAATAAATTTGTTCTGCAATATTTTGTAACTATTATGGGTAGTGTTATAAACATGTTCTTTTCCATTTTTCTTAAGACCATTTATTGGATCCTTACATTTATTTAGATAAGTGGCAACAGTAGTATTACAAGTTATCTTAAATGGTACGATTGCCATATCTAAAATTCAAATACTGTATGAATTACATACTTTAATTTTCACATATTAATTATTAATACTTACTTATTGATTCCATAGTTTGTAAAGCATACATTTCGTTTTGTTGAGTATTCAGATAATTATCAACTATGGGAAACAGACAGTTGACCATGAATTCCACTAAGTCGTTCGGATTACAACATTTTAAAAACATGACTACAGATACGAAAAAATCTATAAAACAGTAAATTGCCAATTTATTACTCAAGGTATACATACATTCAAGTATAATTTTTTTAAATAAACTCACCAGGTTTATGTATATGTTGAATAAAATTAGTTGGCATGTCAATACTAAATGTGTAATTGAAATGACAAGAAAGCAAGTTGATCAATTCTCTTTGGAAAATATCACAACCAACAGTTTCCTCAGAATAATGTTTCTTTTTTGCAATTAAAAATGATAAAACGGTGATAATAACTGGGTCTAAATGAAATATCCATTATAATTAAACAATTGAAAATTTTATCTAGATAATATTAAATACATATATATTTTGAAGAATTTAAGAAAACAATAAAACTGAAATTTATAAATTTATAGTAAATTAATTGCAATTTTACTTTTGTACACTAATTAATAACTATTAATATAGACAATTTCAAGTTTTCTTCTTTTATTAGTTAATATTTTCAACTACATATTTACCTTCTTTTATATTTATACTTCTAGGTAAGCAATTTTTCCATAACAACAAAGATATAAATATGATACAACAATATTTGTTTGGTAAAAAAACCATTGAATCAAAAATAAATATTTGAAGAGTTTTCAGCAGTCTTAGTCTAACACAAATGTCAACAAAATATACTACTTGTTTTATTAATTGATCATCCTGAAAATTAATAAATTATATGAGTATAGAAGATACTTAAGCAATTAACAAAAATTGGTATATTTCCGTAATTTCGACTACCACTGTAAACAAAAATGATAATATGACAATTACCATTTATGTTCACCAATAAAAGAAATGTCGAATTAGTTTTGCAACAAATGTCTTTTCGGTATTACCGAATTACCCACACTTCTCTTCCAGTGTACTTTTTTTATAACAAAAATATTATCTCATTAATTTTAACAATATTTAATGGGCTTCCAATTTCATCATTTTTATTTTTTATAATTATTCCAATCTATTACTTTTCCCATCCAAATGTTTTTTACAAAAAGGGGTCATATTTCCTGTAGTCTAACAATTAGTACATAAAACTTAATATAACTTAAAAGAATAAACTTTTATCAGCCTGGTAGTCTTGACGTTGGACGGTAGTCGAGATAATGGAAAATTACTTTCAATACAAATAATAAGTATGAGATAAATAAACATTTTTACATACAATTGAATGATTAGTATTCATCTGCTTCTTTAAAATATTTCTTCGGATAACATTTAAGATAAGCTCAATTAATGTATCACTTCTCAACATTTTTGCTAATGCTAGAGTGATCGAGGTTAGCATCATTATTTTTGGACAAGTAATATTTAAATTTGTAGACGCCAATATTTTATTTTTCTCTTCATTATTTAATTGGTCATAACTTGCTCTGTAGACTGACAATCCAGTTATTATTGGAGCATCAATTATTTGCTCGAAAATAAAAACACCAATTGAACTAGAGAGTACACAAAAACACAATATTATACAATACTTGGTGAAATATACTTTAATAGATATTTAATGTATTTAAATAAGATTACCTTGCAATTTCTTCCTCACCAAAAAATCTTAAATTTCTGAATTCTTTGGATTCTAAAATGTCATCAAATGATTTATCAGATACTATGAATTCTCTCAAGTGAATCCTGATTTTCATATTACTTGGAACATCTACAAATACATACAAAACATTACCTATTATTTACTAATTTCTAGTAATAAAAGTACTACACAACATTAAAATAGTACTTTACTCGGTCAGCTAAGAAACTAAAAATGCAATATTAAGCTTAATGTGTATTCTGGGACAGAATTAATATAATTTAAGTGAAGTTATAAGATTTATTTTAATACAATTTTTTTATTCTGATAGATGCATCAAAACTCAACACAGATATGTTATTAATTGTAGATATATATATTACAATAGATAAAAAAAAAATAATAATTAATACCACTGCAAAGTAATTACATTTTTACTTCATTTAATACAAAAAACATACATTATATCTAATAAGTAAGAACTTACTTTTTGCTTCCTGTAAAGAATTTGATTTTTGTTTTGTAATGGTAGGATTAACGGTTTTTTTTTGTTGGTTACGATTATTTATTTCTGATTTTAATATTGTTTCTCCTTTGGTTGAAATTGATTGTTTTAATTCTGGATATTTAGTTTTTACATCTAATAACAATATCAATTGTTATTTCAATAAATTTTTAAGTGCCTAAAAAACTTACCATTTGGTTTTTGCAGGGAAACAGAATTATTTTCTTTAGTAGTAGTATTACTGGGTTCATTAGTTTCTTGGTTCTCGTAATTTATTTTTGCCCCCAACAATGTTTCCCCATTGATTGAAATTGATTGGTTAAATTCAGAATATTTTTTTTCTGCAACTTAAGAATAAAATGTTTGACAATTGATTTTTAAACATGTTGAAATTAATTATTTATGACAATCATATCAGTTTTATAAAAAATAAACTTAGTTCAAACAAGTAAATATAAGTTCTGTATTTAATTATATAGATAATTAATAACAAAACAATATGTACTTTTAACTTTTTATAGCTGTATGGTATATACATGCATTGAAATTAATCTTTTTTTACATAAGTTTTATGAAATTTAATTTTAATAAAACTTTAGAAATAGCAGTTAGCAGTTATCAAAATACATATTATGAAACTTGTAAAATTAAACATGTGTACAAATATAAATTACCTTTTGTATTAATAATATCGCAGGCCAATTTCTTAGATGGGATTATTCTACATTTGTCTGTTTGAAAAAATACATTATTTTTTAATTGATCATCATCATCTACAAAAAGATTATGACATAATTAATTTAAAAAAATGATCTATTATCTAGAGTTTTGTTAACCAACAATACATTCTGAAACCAAGTTAGCTATTGGACTTTTAATATACACATTTTTTTTTAGTAATTTAAAGTTTCAAGTCTATTTTTATTGTTTCAATGTAATTCAGAAAATAATAATTTTGGATAATGACTTTTTTCAACAAATATGTGCCAATGAACAATATTATTACATTATATATTAAATATTATATTTTCATACATGTATGACTTCATAAGAATATACGAAATAAGACGTTATGTTATGAACAGTAGACAGAGTACAAAAAGAATAAACTTTGGTACACTTTAGTGAAATATTTATATGTTCAGTTAAGGGGTATATCCCAAGTGGGCAAGCGAGTATAAACAAGAAGGTCATTCTAAAAGAGGAGACAGTTAAATATACGATGAAGATTACAAATAGTATATTTGCAATGGAGAGTAACTGAGAAAGAATGAGTGGACAGGAATGCAGTTCACCTTAGATATTAGGGTAGAGAATGGCTCAATTGAGTCAATACACATATAAGTACTTGTGGTTGTTATTTAGAAAAAATACTTACTATAAAAGTCTACCATATGTTGACATGTAGATACAAACAATTCATCAACATACATTTCTTTCAATATATCTTGGATATACTTGGGTAATGATTCATTTTTATTAACAATGCTTTTATTTAATGATTTTATTTTATAAAACTCATTGCACATTTCAAAAGACATACAATCATCTAAAGAGTTTTCTTTTTCTTTTAATAAATATGCATTCTCACAGTTATTATTAGAAATAACACATTTTTTTGTTGATAATATAGGGTTTGACACTAGAACATAAGCATAAAAAGAGATATTAGATTCATAGAATAATATTAGTCTGTATTCGATTTTAAGTACATAAAAAGTTGATATTAGTTTTGCATGAATATAAAATTTTTTTTTTAATCTGTAAAAGTGGTGAAATGTCAAAAACACTTGTAAGTTTACTCAGAAGTTTTTTAACTTCAAATTTATTATAATGTGAACAAATCAAAAAAAACAAATAATTTAATTTTTTAATTTTTTAATTCATCAGCTAGCTTCACTATACTTTGAACTGTATCAAGTTATAGCAATTTGAATAATACATTTGAAATAAAAAAAGAAATGTATTATTTGAGGCGGCTCCACCGAGAGGCCTAGGTACAGTGGCCCCCTCCCATTCTTTTTTCTAAACAGTTTTAAAATTGTTAGAGACAAAATTACAAAAAAAAGACATATTGTAATCAACTTAGGTCCGCCTCCCCCCAACCAATATTTTAGAGCTGTCCTTGTGTACTATGCATAGTAATATTATGATAGTTCAGGTTTTTTTTAATTCAATAATATAATCTTAAACATAAACAAAATTTAAGTCTGTCATACTGACATATAAATATTTTAATGAAAAACCATACCTTCTTCATTTTCGATAAGATTTATTTCAGAAGATTGTTCCTTTTTTGTATTTGTTAAGTTTTTTTCACAAAATTCAATTTCTGTTGTAACTTCTATAATAGTTAAAACATTAACAAATTAGTAATTCTGACAATATGTTAAGATACTAAATATAATAGATAATAAATTACTAACTACTTTTAATGTTTGCAGCTGAAGATGGATAGTTTATTTTTCTTTCATCTTTTGAATTATCAGGTAATTTAAAAATACATGTTTTATTTGTATTAATATTGCCATCAACGATTGGTTCATTATCTTCTAAAATTATCCAATTATTAAAATTAAGCAAACAAAAATATATACAAACTAATTTAATCATTTATTTATTTTTTTCAACAAAAATGGAAAATTCTCATACTTATAAATAGCTCTGAGTTAAAATACATTTTGAAGAAACACCCAAAGAACAGTTCATTTTGTTAAAAAAAAAAACCCTATTTTTGTAATTATTTTGAAAAATACTTGGAATTTTTAATGTTGACCTATCAAGAGTACCAATTAGATCCAATTTATCACCAGAAAATACAACTTGAAAATTGAAACATTATTTTTACTAAATTGCGTACAGATTAAAAAAAAAAGGAAATCATTTTAAATTCAATACATATAATCATCCCCTTATTATATCTAGAGTATATAGTATGAGAAAAATGCAATTTTTGAAACTATTGATTTGAAATAGGTACATGTAAATGGTTAAACATAAAAGGAGGAAAAACGTTTTATTTAATAACTTACCAATGAGTAATCTATTATCATCATCATCATCATCATCAGAGCTATTGTTATTTAATGAAAAAGCAATATCATCAACAGGTAGGTCAAATAAATTATTAACAGGCTCATTGTTTTCAGATGTGTGTGGCAACATTGGACCTGAAAGAAAATAATAAATACAATTACATCATTATTTAACTTCAACAAAATAGATTTATGTAAATATACCTATAGAATCTATACAGTATAATACAATTAAATATAAATGATTAAAGGTAATTTTAATTATTTTGGCAAATTTTTCAAAGTTGTATGCTTCGTATTATGATAAATAACAATAGCTATTTTTTTTTCAAAGACTTATTACTAGAATTAAACAATTTAGTTTATAAATTAAATTAGATTAAAAATCACTTACACATTTGATATGCTTTTGGGCTAATGGTATCACTAGTATCAAAAAGGTTTTTGAATTGAGGTGGTTCAAAAAATGTTGATATATTTGTCTTTTCTATTTCACTTTCAATTATTGCAGGAACTAAAATAAAAAATGCATTTATTATTAGATATTCTTTACAACTGGCATGATATGTGATCATGTATAAAATAGGGAGCTTTTATTTGTATGCATATTTTAAAATTTAACATAAAATATAAATTTAATATTTGTTTATTCCATTAAAATTGTATACAATAATAAATAATAAACAAATAAAAATATATGTATTTCTAAGTTATATTCTATAGAAGTTTATACAAAAGTATATGATTAAAACGGGGAGTTTTTTAATTCTTTTAATTTGAATATCGAGAGACATGAAAACAATCAAAAATAATCAATTCAATAACAATAATGAGAATTTTTTTGAGAGGGTTCAAGTCACCAAGAGTCAACTACAATATATTTTATGTCCAGACATACTACAATTAAGTAGTGTAGAGAAATAATTTTTATTTGTTTAATTAGTAATAAAAACCTGGTGTATGCTCTTCTTTTAAAACATGTGTAATTTTTGTTTGAGTAAATTCATAGTTGGTTTTTATTCTGGCTGATGACAAAATATTTTCTGATTCAATATCATTACATTTTACTGGCATTTCAAACTCTAAAATATAAAATAAAATTGAATAAAATTTATTAAGTACTCACAATATTAAAAATTACCTTTTTTGGATTCATTGTTTTTATTTATTGTTATAGTGCTATCACTTAAATTACTGACATCAAATAATTTTATTTCAAGTTCTGGGTTTTCTTCAGATTTGAAATCATACTTCATAGCTAATTACAAAAACAAAGTATTAAATACATATATAAAAACAAATAACTATAATTTAATTAGTTTAACATACCAGTAGTATCATAGTAAAATTCATCTTCAATTTTAATTTTACTTTTAGTATCAATTTCGGTATTTACTACAAGAGAATTACAAACACTGTCAAAGTCCAAATCATTTTTTTTGATAAAACTAACTTTTGGATAATCTGGAAAAATAATAATCGTTTCAAATACTTGCAACTGTTTATTTATATTAAAAATATTGGGTATAAAAGAAAATGTCTAGTAATAAAAAACCATGTTACTAAGTTATATTTTTTTAAAAGAATTCCATAAATAGAAATGGGAGAATAAGTAACAGCCCTGCTACACAGTATGAGATTCGAGTGTACTTAGTCATTGAGTAAATCACTAAAATGTATGTGTTAAATATGAATTCAATGATAGAACATGGCAAGCTCAAAACAATGCCGAGCAAAGACCGTCTACCAGCCTATATTACTAGGTATATTTTATTATGTATTGAAATTGCTATTATTGTTGTTTATTTTAGTAGAGCAATACAACACTATTATTAATGAACTAATTTTAGACAATCATTTTAATATAAAATTATGAAAAATATAAACATAGTCATTTTGAAAAGGATAACTTACTTATTACGTTTTTATTAAATGTTACCAAATTTTCCTCAAAAGGTTCAACACTTATTGGTTTATTTTTTGTTGATCTATTTGACATACAGTCAGTATTAGCTAAAAAATAAAAACAATTTTATACAATGATCATTTAATGAAAATATAAATGAAACATAGCTATTTTGAAAAGACAACTTACGTATTTGGTTTTTATTCAAGTTGATATAAATTTGATCGTAAGGTTCAAGATCAACAGATTTACTATTTGACATAGGAACATTGTCACCTAAAAAAAAAAAGGTATAGACAATCATTTGTTTGTGAAAAAAATAAACATAGTCATTTTGAAAAGGATAACTTAAAACAAAAAAAAAAAAAAACATAGCTACTCTGTGAAAAGATAACTTACTTATTTTGTTTTTATTTAAGTTGATATAACTTTGATCACAAGGTTCAACATTTTCTGATTTACTATTTGACATGGGAATATTGTCAACTAAAAATAAAAAGGTGTAAACAAACATTTTATTGTGAAAAATATAAACACAGCTATTCTGATAAGACAATTTACTTATTTTATTTTTATTAAAGTTGACACCATTTTCATTACAAGGTACAAAACTGATTGGTTTATTTTTTGTTGTGTTATTTGGCATAGAGGCACGATCAGCTAAAAAATAAATACAATTATATACAATGATTATTTAATGAAAAGTAAATTAAACATAGCTATTTTAAAAAGAATAACTTCATGCTATAAATTTATTTTTCTTAAAATAACTTTGATTACAAAGTTTAAGATTAAATTATTTATTATTTGGAGCAGAAATATTGTTAACTAAAACTTAATAGTTATAAGAGATCTTTATTTTGTGAAAAATATAAACATAGTCATTTTGAAAAGGATAACTTACTTATTTCGTTTTTATTAAATTTGACAAAATTTTCCTCATAAGGTTCAATACTTATTGGTTTATTTTCTGTTGTACTTTTTGATATACAGTCAGTATCAGCTAAAAAATAAAAACAATTTTATACAATGGTTATTTAATTCAAAAATAAATTAAACATAGCTGTTTCGAAAAGACAACTTACATATTTTGTTTTTATTTAAGTTGGTACAACTTTGATCACAAGGTTCAACACTTTCCGACTTACTATTTGACATGGGAATATTGTCAACTAAAAATAAATAGGTATAAACAAACATTTTTTGGTGAAAAATATAAACATGGTCATTTTGAAAAGGATAACTTACTTATTTCGTTTTTATTAAATTTGACAAAATTTTCCTCATAAGGTTCAATACTTATTGGTTTATTTTTTGTTGTACTTTTTGATATACAGTCAGTATGAGCTTAAAAATAAAAACAATTTTATACAATGATTATTTAATGCAAAAATTAACAGTTATTTAAAAAATAATAACTTACATATTTTATTATTATTAAAATAACTTTGATTAAAAAGTTTAAGATTAACTGATTTATTACTTGATGTAGAAACATTGTCAACTAAAAATAGATGTTATAAGCAATTATTTTTTTGTGTAAAAATATAAATATAGTTACTGCGAATAGGATAACTTACTTATTTTATTTTTATTTAAATGTATATTATTTTGATTACAAGGTTTGTGATTAATTGGTTTATTTTTTGTTGTATCATTTGACGTGTTAGCATGATCCACTAAAAATAATTACAATTAAACACAGTTATTATTTTTGTTGTACATAAATAAATTAAACAAAACAATTTTCAAGGAAATTACATGTTTTGTTTTTACTAAAGTTGACACAATTTTCTTCATAAAGAACAATACTATTTGATATAGAAGCATTATCAGCTAAAATATAAATACAATATATACAATGATTATTTAATGAAAAATGGAATTAAACATAGCTATTTTAAAAAACATAGCTTACATATTTTGTTTTTATTAAAATGGACAAGACTTTGATTATAAGATTCAAGATTAACTGATTTATTATTTGACGTAGAAACATTGTCAACTAAGAATAAATAGTTATTTTGAAAGGGAACACTTACTTATTACGTTTTTATTAAAGTTAGCACAATTTTTCTCATCAGGTTCAATACTTATTGGCTTAATTTTTGTTTTACTATTTGATATTAAAGCATCAACTAAAAAAAACAGTTATAAAGAATGATTTTCTAGCGTAGAAATATAAACAAAGCTATTTTAAAAATAATAACTTACTTATTTTGTATTTCTCATGGTTGACATCATTTTCATTAATTGGTTCATATTTTGTTGTACTATTTGATGTGTTAGCATGATCAACTGAAAATAATGACAGTTATCATATTTTGAGAAAAAACAAATTAAACCAAGTTATTTTTAAGAAAATAACTTACTTGTTTTTTTTTTATTAAAATTAACATAACTTCCATCAAAAGGTTTAATGTAGACTGTTTTTTTTTGTTTTGTAATATTTGATGTAGAATCATTATCTATAAAAGAGTATAAATTATTATATAATTATATACAATGATTTTTTGTGTAGAGATAAATTAAATTAAAGAAACCCAAAAATCGAAAAAGCTAGAAATAAAGATATTTATTACATGATCTAGAATAAATAAATGTAGTTAAAAGACTAATAAGTAATTTGTATCAATTGTATCTATAAATCTTAATAAAATTATTACATATAGCTTATAAACATCAGATTACATGGACCTATTTCAAGAATAAAAATCCAATTTAACTTTTAAAGACTATATACATTATACATATAAATATATAATATAAGTGAAAAATAATATATATTATTGACTATATTATTATATAGATAATATGGAAATTTGAACAATTTAAACTATTATTGACTATGAAATCATGTTATTTCTTAACTCTTACCATTTTTTTTGTATAATTAAGTTCAAAATTGAAAATAGCAACATCGCAGTATCTTATGCTAATTCATGTAGGCTTTCTTTTGAATTTTTATATCCTTTGATACGTTAACAAATTTTCTCAATTGTGTTGTACACTTGTACCCCAAATTATAGAAGACCCAATTTATCTACCCCCAGTTTATATTGTCTGAATAAAATCACTAAATTCATAAAACCAGATTATCTATAAGAATGTATTGGTGTAAAAAAAATACAGTTAGTTACAATGATTTTTAAGTCTAAAAAAAAACTCTGTCTAGGACAAGAATCGACTTGTACAATGAAAAGTTTTATTTTCTGCTGTGAAGCAAAGCAAGCCTTTTATTCTAAACTAGTCAACTATCTGAATGACAGCTTTGCAGAAAATCTATGCTCTCTTCTCCCTCTCTGAGCACAAGACAGACGCCAATTACGTGTTTTTTAACCTGATTCCTGAATGCAGTATATTTTAGTTGTTTTGAAAATAATAACTTACTTATTTTGTTTTTATCAAAATTGTCATATTTTTCATCATAAGGTTTAAAATTGATTGGTTTGTTCTGTGATGTATTATTTGATGTTGAATCATTAATGTCTAAATCATAAAGAAAGTTACAAAAACAATTTAACTTTAATAACCGTTTGTCTTACTTTTAGATGTAGACATTATGTTTATTGATTTAACTTTAGAAGAGTGAATATTAAATTGTATATCTTTATTATCTTTTTGTGGTTCTAGCAATTTATGATCTGAAAACAATAATATTACAGTAATTTGTATTAAAATTGTTAGAATTCAGAATATTACCACTTGTATTATAATCACAGTATTCAGTAAGATATTCTACGTCTACATAGACATCTTTAAGCATACTTAAAATACTTGGTTCAATATGATCATTTTCTTTAAAATCAAATTTCTCAAATTTTTTATTAATTGAAATTGAATTAAAGATTGGTATATTATGTTCTCTTGATTGAATGATATTCTTGTGCTCTTTTGTAATAAGCATGTTTAAAATATTGGCTTCTAAATGTTTTCTAAGCAATAATTTTTGACGAACTTTTTTAGCATTATTATTAAATGCAAAATGCTTGATTTTAGAAGTAAATATCTTATTATCATTGATGTTGAAACTATTAAAATTTTTACAATAGCATCTTGAGGAATGATCTGGAACAAAAAAATTTAACCTAAAAAGAAATGTATAGAAAACATCGGAGTAGTCATACAAATTTGTGTAGTATCTGTTCCTTATCGATTTAAAAATGGATTCATAGTTATAACAGGGGTCGGCAACCTTTTTAACCATGCGGGCCATATTTTTTTCAATTTTTCATCAAGGGCCACATTAATAACAAAAAAATTGTACAAATGATACAATACTAATAGTTTTATTCCTATTATATTTATTAATTTTACATGGAAATATAAGTATGAAAAAATACATATTTTAGTAACAAAATTAAATTAAAATATATACTTATATATATAATATAGTTGTTAGTGTGATTTTTGAGGTTGAATTTTTTCTGCTAGATTGTTTACAGATCCGCTTTCATATTGGATGTCGATATTTTTAAACTGCATCCATATGTTTGCCGCTTGATCGTTAACAATATTTATTTTTCGAAATAAAGTGTATAAGTATAGAAAACGTTTGCTCACAAATATAAGTGCTACTGAAAGCAGTAATAATTTTTTTAGCAAGATATTTAATGCGTTTAAAATCTATTTCAAAAAGACTTGAATAAAATACATTTAGGTCATTACTTTCTTATTCATTTTTATTGTTTCCATATATAAAGTTGATTTAGATGATTTTAATACAATTTTACAACATACAAAATGATCCAAGCTCTGTTCATTAATATGTTTGTGTAGTAATTTTAATTTCAGTTGAAATGATTCTATATGTGACAAAAATTTGTCTTTACCTTGCAGTTTCGTATTCAGTTGTTACATCAGTTAAAAATACAAGATTAAGAACCCACTTTTCATTTGATAATTCTGGTACATTTTTGCTTTTCTTTGACATAAAAAATATTTATTTCATTTTGTAAAAAAAAAAAACCGTTTAAAACCAAAACCTCTACTCAACCAAATTACTTCGGAAAAATATATTAGATCCCCATATACAGCATCGCATTCTTCCAAAAACATTGTAAATTGACAATGAGTCAAAGCATTTTTACGCATGTAGTTAACCGTCGATACTACAATATTCATTACATCTTTCCATACTAAAACTTTGCAACATAATGCCTCTTGAAGTATGATGCAATGAAATATCATAGGTGCTTTATGTCTTTCTTCCACCATGTTTGCATTTATTCTCCTAATTAATCCTTTATTAATTCCACTAATATTTCTGCCACCATCTGAAGTAACACTAATTAGTTTTTCCCAACTTAAATCAAACTTTTTTAATGTTTTGTCAATTTCAATTATAAGTTTTCTCTCATAGTAGTTCCCTTCAAACTACATAGTTCAGCCAATTCTTCAGAAATGTTCAAATTCAAATCAATTTCTCGAATAAATATTAATAACTGAGCAGTACCACAAACATTAGTACTTTCGTCAGTTGCGATAGATAAACAATCAAATATAGAAACTTTTTCTTTCAGTTTTAAAATATAATATGCTCTTAACTCTTGGGTAGTCTAACACAGGTCCTAGCTGAGAGTTTGATGTCTTCAAATTGATTTTTTTTCTCAGGGCATATTTCATTTACAATGGCTAACATACATTGTTTTATAAACTCAGAGTTAAGTTAGGTGGACGATTACACTTGGCTATCATTTCAGCAACTACAAAACTTACTCCTGAGTCGTTTTGATTATTTTGTAATTTAAAACTATTTTGTTGATTATTTAATGAACATTTTTAATTATTTATTTTAATTTGTCAAAGATTACCAGCAAGATTGTCAACTTTAATTTATGCTCTGTTTCATAGTGACGTTTAACATTATACTCTTTTACAGATAAAATAATTTTTTGGCAAATTAAATCTGACAATTTACCTTTACATTCGTTGAATGTATGACATTCATCACACATTTTTTCAACATTGATAATTAAAGTGTATAAAACACTTGAGAAGTTAAAATTTAAACTTCATAGTTTTTATACGATGTCTTGGACATTGTACATTGGAATGTTTCAAAACAAATTGCAATAAGACCATAACCAAATATTTGTCGTAATCGACGATTTATATATTATATATGATTAGATTACATTCTCGCCCATACCTTACATCACATTATTATAAAATAGTCATGATTCGATTTTATATATTACAATTTAAGATATAAAATTAAAATTTTAAACACCATGAAATATATTTGAAGGGCCGCTGAAAAAAGTTACGGGGCCGCAGGTTGCCGGTACCTGAGTTAAAATATTACTATAAGTCTTACTTTTATATTTTTTTGAAAAACTATCATTAGTAGAACTCAAACTATCATTTTTGAGTGAGCAATTATAATTATCTTTAATATAAAAAGATTCCGTTTTTATTTTTATCTCATCTTTAATTATTGAATGAAAATACTGATTAGGTTCAATTAGATCTGGGCAAGTGATATTTTTTTCAGGCTTAGGATAATTTTCTACAGGTTGATCTAAAATTAATAATATATTTCTTTAGTAAATAATAATACTTTTTATAAAACAAATGTTGTATTTCTTTAAATGCATCAAATAATTACTAACCTGAGTTACTATTATCAAATTCAAAAGTGTGTAAACTACTTAGATCAATTATTTCTTCTGAAATTGTAGTTGAACTGTTAGATTTTGAATCGATAATTAAACTATTGTTAATACTAGCATAACTTTCAACTAGTATGTTCTCTTTGGGTTCATCAAAAATACTCATTAAGCTATTTTCAACATTATCTAAATAATACATATCAGTTATGACATATAAGATACTTCATGGTTAATACTACAATCATCAAACATTGTACCCGCTGGTGTTGACTCTATCTTATAAATGTTTAACAAATCTAAGTATTGTATTCTTACTTACCACGTTTTATTTATAATTAATATATGAATTACCAAATTTGTAGTGAAGAATATGAGCTGTGCTCGAGAGAAGAGTGTTTTCCTATTTGATTTCAAAATGAGTTATAAGTACTTGAATAGTACATTTTTTCAATAACTGGTTTTAAAAAAAATATGATGGATTGAGTACAGTTAATATTCTTCTATACAAATTTGATCATATATTAGCAATATATAAACTTCAGTAAGAATCCAGCATACGATTTGTTTTGTTAAGCGTGTGTCACACAGAGACAACATAGCAAGTATGCCGTCTTTTTAAGAAATAGTATAAATAACATAATAAAAGTTTATGTTTCAATTTAGATGATACATTTTTATGATTAAAAACCAAAACTTACTTGTGGTTGTAAATAACGATGGCAATGGTTTATTGTGTGAATCATCAATAACATCCATGTCTTGTTTTAATAATAAATTAGAACAAATTGATGATTTGAAGTTTACATCACATATATCATCAATATCAGTATCAATAGCACACATATTAATTTGGTTTACTGAAAAATCAAATGTTTCAAAATATATTATGGTTTACATAAAATTAAATGAAACATTATGAGCTAATATAAAACTGTAAAAGTTAATCTATATAGTTATAAGATAATTCAAACAATATTAACATAGTATCAAAAAATAAAATAATTACCCTCAAAATCTGAAGAAAGTATTTTTGATACCACTTTATTTTCTTTATCAAAATCATTGGATTTATTAGTATTATTATCGTAAAATAATTCTTGAGTTCTAATTTCGGCTGAAATAAATTATTTATACTTAATACTAATAAGATTTTTATTTTACTTTCTTCAAGTAAGAGCATTATTTCTAGAATTAATGATATAAATCAAACTATATTCTAGATTGCTTGTTGATAACTTTTTTAAGTTCATATTTAATATAATGACTAATAAAAATTAAAACAAATTTTTAATATTTCATGTATTATTTATAACAGGAAAAATGTATGATTTGTATTTCAAACATAATAAGTATGGCTAGGACTCATATGCATTGGCATATTTTTTTTGCAAATTCTGAAGGCTGAATTTTTTTATGTCCACATATCAGGTCATGTTGAAGCAAATGGTGGTTATTTTAATTTGAATAAAATGCATATTTTATGGTATATATTTTTAGCATGAGAGGTTAGGAAAAAAAGGAAATAGAATATTTTCTATCCAAAAAATAGACAAGTATTTAATTTATTACTTATACAGCACGTATAATGAATTAATTTTTTTCTTATCTTAATTATTATACCTTGTACAGTTGCACTAGAAGATTAAATTAAATATTTAAGATTATTCTGGAACTACGCTATCAACAATAAAATAAGTATGTGTTTAGAAATAAACGCCATTATGTATTGTGAGAATGTGAGTGTTGTGTGTTGTTACTTGTTAGTGAATCAAAATTTGATTTTGAAATTTATTTTTCATGAAAATTGCCAAAAATACAAAGGATCAGTGAAAAACGTTGACATTATATAAATCAATTTTCTGATATAGTTTGTAAGACAGATGGAAAAACACTATTTTGTTTAGTATTTGCAACAAAGAAGTTGTACCTAAGTATTATCTTTTTTCATATTTTTATAGTTAATAATAAGTAAATAAGACAATGCACATAATAATAATAAAAACAAAGATAAAAAATACACAATGAGGGTCATTGATGGAACCTTTACGACAAAATTTGTTTGTTTAATCATACTACTTAATTTAGGCACCAGTGACTTTTTAGTTATGTGTGTTTCTTTATCAGGAAGAGCGCAAGGTGACTAATGAAAGATTAAAGAGTTTGGATGATGTTGGAGTCTTAACTGAAAACTATTGTTGTAGATTTTGGCTGATTGGTTAGGTTAGACTAAATATATAGTACCCTTAGGTCAAAAAGTGTTTGAGTTTAGAGAGAGAGGGGTAAGGCTGAAGATTTTTATGTACATGAAAATGTTTTCGTATTATAATAAAATACAATGGAGTGTAAAATATTGAGTTAGGTCTATATAGTCCCAAAGTTTCAGATTAGACAGGACAGTTAAAATTAAAATACTCTGATTGTAAAATATAATTTAATTAACTTAATTATAAATTGAAAACAAAAATAATTTACTACCTTGTGATTCTGTTTTTGTTATTTCAAATTCGTTCTTTAGTTGACTTATAAATGATTCAGTAACAACAATAATTTCACCATCTTCAGTATTTGTAGGTACACATTCACTTGTTGTGGGACCTATACATACATACAAAAATGATAGGGTTGGTTATTGATTATTTTAAATTTTGAGAAAAGTAAGTAATGTACAATGTACTGGTTTTACAATAATGTTTAATTTTAATAATTGTTGGGGCTTAATGAAGGGAATGCTTAAAAGTTTTTCTCTTTACACAAAATATATGTCCCTATAAATTAGTATTAATTAATTGTATAGATAAGCGGCCTTGGTTTGAATGCAAAAAAATTAATAATTAGTTAGAAAATAGTCTAATTTTTTTGAAAATGTCCTTGTGACATTCTGTCATATAATATATATTATAGTATAAAATATAAAAATATATGTAAACAATTTATCAACTAAAAAATAAATGTAGATATGTACAATGATTTATTAATGAATACTGAATACTTATTCTGAAAAGAAAACTTAATTGTTTCATTCTTATTAAAGTGTACATAACTTTGATCACAAGGTTCAAGATTAACCGATTTAATATTTAACGTAGAAACATTGTCAACTAAGAATAAATAGTTATATACAGTCATTGTTTCGTGTAAAATTATAAAATAGATATTTTGAAAAGCATAACTTACTTATTTCGTTTTTATTAAAGTTGACACAATTTTTCTCATTAAGTTCAATACTTATTGGTTTATTTATTGTTGTATTCTTTGACATAGAGGCACTATCAGCTAAAACATAAATACAATGATGTACAATGATTAGTTAATGAAAAATTAAATTAAATGTAGCTATTTTCAGTCAGTATAGTAGAATCAAGGTAATCCAAAAGAACAAAGAACTACTGGATTAATGGAAAGTTCACATGAAACTCATTTTTACTTTTCGCAAAACCTTAAATTATTTTATAAAAACATATAGTTAATTCACACATACTAATTTATAACTGTATTGAATTATTCTTTTGATGGGATGGGTCTAAAAAAATGATTAAACATCATGTTTGTAGACAAAAGTCAAATAAGTATGATTTTCTTTAAATTTAACAAAAATAATTCAATACAATAACTAACCAATATACTATACATTACAACCTAAGTCAAGTGAATAAAAATAAAATATGGAATTGGTTTATTTCTTAATTAACCAGTTAGTTTGATCGTTTAGGTTAATAATTTAATGGTTATTGTAAAGAAATAATAAAAATAAAATATAGGTCGATTACTAGGCAGAACGGATTATATCACGGCCAAATTATGAGTCTAGTAAATTGTTATTGTAGAAACTATAATGATAATCAGCTATTAATACAATATTGAAATGTAAATACCTGTAACTTCCAATGACTTGTTGGTTTTACTGTAATTTTGTGAAATGTTTTTATACAGATTAGAGTCACGGACCGTTTTAACAGGATCATATAAACTTGATGGTTTTTGATCTATTTCCTCAAATGTATTTAATGCTAAAATGTGAAAAGTATAAAATAATAAAATATATTTTAAAACCATTCTCTATTCAGGATGAATTTAATGGTTAGACGTAGCCTGACAGTCAACCCTGCCGAGTGTATAATATGACTACTATATAGTGAAGCCACGCCCCACGCGCAATTCAGTTACCAATTATGTTTCTTGCCATGAATAGAGAACATGCACTTGGTGTACAGAAAAATGTTAGTATTAAAATAATGACTTAAATACAAATGTGTGAACTTACATATTATATTAGACTTATTGTTAATAGGATATGATTTTTTGTTAAAATAAGTTCTCATTTCAACATCTAGAACATAATAAATATTAAATAAAAATATGAACATATTTTTTTAACTTATGATATTTATTACTTTTATCAAATGCAGGACATATATCATCTGGATCAGAAATACAAGTGGATATTTCTTCAACTTCATCTAAGATAAAATAAAAACAAATTAACACTAAAATAAATAAAATAATTAGTTGTTTACCTTTTACACTATCCTTTATTCGAAAATAATCAATTTCTGGATCAGAGTCTGATTCAAATAATGAAGGTGTACTTTTTTTATACTCGGTATCTAGATGTTTTCCAGGATATGGAGAAGAAATATCATTAGTGAAAACTAAAACACATAAAAACAAATATTTATATAAATTCAATACAATTATTTGTGCATGCTGATAAAAAAGGATATATTAAAATTTGTATATATAAATATACAATTAAAAACTGGCAACAGATTACTGGACCTCATTGATATAAAAGTGTGGGTCAAGAGTTATCTATCTTAATTCAGTGAAAAAATGAGATATCTCAAATTATTATATTTAACAAAAACAATAATAGATAAAATAAAATTACATATAAAAAAAAACCTTACAGTCAATAATTGATTAAACATGGTTCATTATACAAAAAAAATTTAATAAAATCTAAAAATGTATGTTTAAGCAGCGTCATATGAGAAATGCTTTTTGAATAGTAAAAATTGCATGTTGACTTAATTAGTAGGTATTATATAAAAAACTGGTTCCCAACAAAATTGAAAAATCATTAAACAGCCTGTTTTATTAGGCTTAACTAATGAGTAATTCTTCAATGCATATAAGATTATCGCTCCATTTTTCAAAGGACACAATATATTGTGTTTTTTAAGGTATAAATATTTATATTCAAGATATTAGACTCTTCAAACAAGTTTTTGGTCAGATATCTAGTATTTCTTTTCCTTGTGATGCCGATAAATGTATTTTGGCAAGTTTAAGGCTGTATGAGAAAACATAATCATAGTCTAACCTAATACACTGTGTACAACTCGATTTAACAGTTGCTAAACATATCGTTCTAATATCTTGAAATGGTAGAATATCTTGGAGTTGATGTTTTTAATTTTTTTGTTGGTCACCATCTTTTAGACCAGTAAAAATGTTAAGATTTTCAACTTTAAGATTGGTTTCTGTAAGCACGTAGTTAATATTTTGAGGGATCAAAAGTAATAAATTCCCAGTACTTTTCACACTCGAAAAAAAAACGGAAAAATGAAGATAAGAGAGGTGGACCTCTCTGCAGCACAGTTGTCAAGCATGTCATTGAAATGTATGTGCTACATTTGAATTCAATGATACATCATTAAATACAAAAAACAATTCTGAGAAAACATGCTGTATCGCTTAGCATACTTGTATAAAAAATCAAATGTAAGTTTAAAAAAAAATTATACAAATTATACATGAGCACCAACTTGAAACCTAAACATAATATACTATTATATTTTACTGTACACAGTGACATTTTTAAAATATTAATTATAAGGTATTGCCTATTTATACAATAAACCCATCTATATATACAATTCTATAATAAGTTGGCAACGACTCAAAAGTTAATAACAATAATGAATGTATAAAAAAATAAATAGAGTAGTGTCAATATATCATGGAATATCTCTTTTATACTCAGTGGCATATTTGAAGGGGGGGGGGGGTACTTCAATGGGGCCTGGACCCCTCTCACTGACTCGTGTCTCATACATGTTAAATTTTGTGTTTTTACATGATTAAGATAAATTAATTTTATACTACCATACAAAGGAAAATTTGGTAGCTTCAATGTAAATTTTTTAAATTAATATTGTGATTTTTTTGTTATCAATTTACAAAATGTATACAATGCCAGTATTTACAGCTACTCCAAAAATATGTGTTAAAACCTTAAAATGATTGAAAACTTATCTTAGATCAACTATGAATGAAGTTATTCAGGACATATTTATTATTACATTTATAACCAAACTATGCAGAATATTTTTAATTTGTTTTGTACTTAGGATAGGCTAAATGTACTAGCATTGATGTCTATACATCGGGACATACCATTCAATGTGGATGCAATTAATAATAAAATGGCTCTAAGTCCTAAGGAATTGGATATTGTTTTTTAATCTCATGTGTTTTTTTTATAACACTTAAATATAAATTTTAAATTGTTGTAATAATAAATAACTAACTATTAGGTACCTAAGTCAGCAATTAGTTTACTAGTTAACTACTTACATAATAAGTTAGTTGATCTTGGTTTTATTATTATTACAAAGTTTATAATACAAATATACCTATATTATATAACATAATTAAAAACTCAACAATTTTACATGGACTTATAAATTTAATATGGTATATTTATTTAATAAAGAGAAATGGGGGAGGTTCTGATTTCTAAAAATTATCTGGACCCTCCCCATGACAAATTCTCAAATACGCCATAGGTTATACTTAGCTAATAAAATACTACTTTACTCAGAAGACTAGAAGCATATACAGAAGATATATTAGAGGAATACCAAACTGGATTTAGAAGAGGAAAGTGTACTACCTATCATATTTTTGCACTAAGATAGCTAGTGAAAAAAATGTATGAGTACAACAAAGATCTGCATACCCTGTTCTAGACTACGATAGTATTGGCAGATACCAACTGTAGACTGCACTAAAAAATTTCAGCATACCTATGAAACTAGAGGAGCTAGTTGAAATGTGTAACCAACAGACCTTGCAAAGTACATGGGAGAGACATCCTAAGCTTTTAAATGTAAAACCAGTCTGAGACAAGAGGAAACATTTTTGCCAATACTTTTTAACTAGGCACTTGAAAAATTAGTTAAAGATATTCAGGATGAGAGTAAGATGGAAACAATAGGAGTAAACACACTTTTGGTGTAAGCAGATGAGATTGAAAAAAAGGCAAAGAGATTATTAAAAGCTAGCCATCATTTGGGTTTGTTAGATAATGAAGTCAAAATAAAATATATGATAATGCCAAGATAGGTGATCCAAAAGAACAACATCAAGGAATGGATACGCATTCGAGCAAATGGAAGAATTTAAATATCTAGGAGTAAAACCAATGAGAAAAATAATCTGCATAACAAAATCAAGTTTAGAATGTGCGAGGTGAACAGAAGTTATTACACTATGAAAGAGATTGGATTTTAAAGATTGAATTTTTATGAAAAATAAAAAATATTTATACATACCAAAACCAAGTTGCAACATCTTTTTATGGATTTTTTTTGAAGGTTTTCTATTCCTATTAGCTAAAATCAATGAATATATATATTATACAATTTATTTTTTCATATTTGATACTTTTATAATAAATAAACAGTTAATATTTTGTTTTAACAGAGCTAACTAACTATAGTAGTTTTCAGCAAAAGTGGCGCTACTAGTTCTCCACATGGACAGGTAAAGAGCAGGTTATTAATGAGTAATTAATTTAAATTTGCCACGCTTTGTTTGACACATATTTAGTAACCACTGCGTAAAAACATCCACCAATCAAGCTAACGCTGTGAGCCACTTTTACTGAAAACTAATATAATAATAATATATATATATACAGAAGCGAGGTGTGAGTCTTTAGGTCAGGGAGACATTGATTAAAAAATCAAGGATAATAACATTATTATTGATGGATACTCATATATTTTTGACCAATATCACACAAGAAATAAACAAATCGGAAATTAAAAACCAGATAGTTTGCAACCATCGATGCCTAGACGACGACAATAACTGAAAAATAAAACAAAAATATAAACGGCAAGATGAATCTCGTAAAGCAAAAATAACCCTAACTCACTTACCAATCCCTCCCGCACACCATATCAGAGTTTAAGAGATGTCTTGTGCTTATTTGTATCGTGAATTTATACTGTGTTTTAGTGTTTGGGTGTTTACTGACATGTCTAGTAACAATGGGCACCACAAACTAACCTACAGGGCTTGCAACTAGTCTATCCTTTTTTTTTTTTTATTTTACACAATATATATACAATCTGTACAATTTTGCACAATTAGCATATTTGATAAGAGTTAAAATATAATACATGAGTACTTGAGTAAGAAGCCACCCACTAATGGCACTTAACTGGAGGTTGTATGAAACTAGCTATATATTTTTTATTTTTTTTTATTTTTTATTTTTATAATTTTTATATTTGATATTAGTTCCCTAATATTAGTTATTATTATTATTATTATTATTATTATTTTTTATTCCCTTCTATTAGTCTATCCTAAGAATACAATAATGGTACACCAAAAAAAATGATTTTGAAAAATAATGAAATAAATACATACATGTATACAAATATATGCACATTATTAAAACATTCAAATTTGTAAAATAAATATTTTATTACATTTATTATTTGAATTATTTGTTTCTATTTTAAATGGGTGGACGTTGTCTCATTGTTTCCTATCCGCTTCGCCACTGTATATGTATAAATAAATATTTTAATACCTGTTTCTGATTTATTTCTAATATTGTTAATTCTGGAACATTTATCCTTAATGACACTTGTTTCTACCAATTCACTGTTGTCTATATTATAAAATGAACATTTGAGAAGAAAAGTTTTATTAGAATAAATATTTAAAAAAATATACACTATTTATATTAGGTCAATATATAATTTTAATTGACTTACTTGTTAGTTGTTTTTTTAGTTTATTTCTCGTCATATAACCATTTTGTGCTGTTAAGACTGCATTATTTATTTCTGATTGAGAATGTTTAATGGATTTTTTTCTTTTATCTAAAAAATGTGCAAATACCAAATTAATCATTAGTAATCATAGACTATTTGTGAAGACGAGATAAATCTACAAAAATAAATACAACCGTTTTAGGTTTATATAACTAATATTATTTAGTAATCCATGTAATAAAAATAAAAAGTTGTTAATTGGTAAACACATCTATCAAGAATGGCTGAACCAATTTTTCTCATTTTTTTTTTCGAAATTCTTAATACTCCAAATGAGGTTTTAACAGAAAGGCCTTTTTTATATAAATAATTGCCATTGGTTGCATATAATATTATAGTACCTACTAAAAGTAGCAAATTAGTAGAAATTAATATTTTTATTTTATATAAATAGTTGCCACAGGTTACATAATATAATGTATACAATTAATCCATACCAAATAATTTTAACTTATAATTTTGATATTTGGTCACTATATTTTTAATTCTCTCTGGTTTATCCAAAGTTATAGACTCAAACACTACTGGACAATAAAAATTGATACCAATAGATTCTTTAAGATTTAGTATTTAAAGTTTAATTTTTCTAGGTAGCTAAAAAGGAGCTTGTTCATACATGCACTTTTTACAGCTTATGAAAAAACAAGTTTTTTTCGTTTAAATTAAATTTGCCATTTTTTTACAAATATGTTTATAAAAAAAAGACAAATCTTTAGAATGAGCAACACCAAGTAGTCAGCTAGTTAATATATAATTATTTAACAGATACAATCAGTTATTTAAAAATATACAGCATAAGCCTGAAGAATTGACCCAAAAACGAGTAAAAATATCTAGTTTATTATTTACAGACATATTTCTTGATATAAATTGATCATGTAATTTGTAGGTACCTAATACAATTTTTAATTATTATCTTAAAATTTTAAATGTTTAAGTTCATCACATAATAAATAAATCCTTAGCTGTTTTTATACATTAAAAAAAAAAATATAATGTATCATCACAAATAATAATTACTTACAGTAAATATCATTATCAGTTACATCAGTTTCTGATGTTCTAAAAAATGACCTTTTTCCATTTTTATTTTGAATGCATGATACTGTCTCGCGATCTGATGACAATTTACCTTTAAGTGGTAAAATAAAAATAAAACATAAGCATCTAATGAGAGATTTTATTGAATAATACATTTTTCTATGCTTGTCTTAAACACACAACATATAGTACTACAACGTTTTCATGTTAAGACATGACTATGTAACAGATATACCATTAAATACTTACTATTACTTGGGCTCATTTTCGAAGTTTGAATTTCAAATCACTCACGGCCGCTTAAAAATAGTTTCTGAAATTAAAACAAAACGTCCGGTTAAGTTTCACGCGGTTATTGCAATCACAGCCGAGTAGTATGTACCTAGTACACCGACAAGGACGAGTCAGACGAAAAGCATGAGTTTAAATCAGAAATCCACATGTTCACTCGGATCAAGGATAAACGTAATAAAACGTTTAACCGATTCCCGCTTCATAATACTTATTAACAAACCAGCAGGTCGCGACTAGTAACTACGTGAATGTTATAGATACAATTTAAAAATAACCTTTTTGTGGACAATAGTATTAACGTAATTCGTAACTATTAGGAATTAGAATATTCGTCGACTCGTCGTGCATAGTATCTAAATTCAAAACTACACTTATGAAAAGACCGACATTCAATATAATCAGTATTCGCTCACTTTAAAGCCGCTATCACACCGGCGGACAAAATCGAAATTTGTGATTAAAGAAAGAAAACAACAAACGAACCATGAGGCGAGAATGAAAAAGAGATGAGACGAGGCCACGACGGAGTGAGCGCAAGAGAGATGAACATGCTTACCGCATTACACTATTACGACAGTACGGCGTAGTAAAAGTGTCAGAAAGTGTTGCCAACTTAACTTATATTATTATTGTGAGCCTGAACATAATAATGTTATTAGTACACCGTGGGAAATTAAAACTATTGTATGATACAGGCACTGCGGTACTACGTTCTTTTGTCACGGCAGCCGCGTTCGCGATTTTGCGTAGCACTCAAGCAGTCAAGCACTTGGGGCAGCCAGCGGGCACAGTTTCGTTTACGACCCGGAACAGTGCGTACGTGCGACGGTCCCGTCTCACCGACCACCACTACGACTCGTTAGTGGAACACTATTGATGACCGCAACAGGAACAGCATTTTTTTTTGAGCCGCAGTCCCGCGCGGCCAGTCATTCGGCGGCCGATCGACGCAGTGTGTCTCCGAGACGCTCGTTCGGGCCATCACACTCTGCTGGTGCGATTTGTTAGCGGTTTCCATCTCGCCCGTGGATAAAAGACTGCTGAGATCCCCCGAGGGAGTCTACAGGAGGAGAACTTGGTCATCTGTTGTCTACAAGGACGAAACTGTCTGGCGTTTTGCGCTGGTCGCTCTACACGTTTGGTGGCTTAAAACGACGAAACGTCGAGCAATATGGCTGTGTGAAAAGTGGTGCGAACAACGATCACAAACGAACGGATTCGGTCGCTTCTAGACGTGGGGGAAGAAAATAATGAAAATTTGTTCTGGACCGGCATATATCAAACACCGTCCCAGGTAAGCTGCCGGGTGTTTGCTCGATCTATAGCTGATGTTATGCGAAATGTCGTTTTGATTTAATTACCTACCTGCACATTTTTATTATTATTATTATTATTATGTTACGTATAATATCACTATTATTGTTTTCACCCTTCCCCCGCCGACAAGTCCCGTTTACCTCCCGCCGCCGACCATCCGTCTACGACACGCGGCGACGGTGGCGTGTTGTGGTGCACTACCCACTGCCCGCCGCCGCTTCTGCCCCGTCCACGTCTGGTGGTAGGCGATGGGTATAATAGTACTAAATAGTAATAGTAGGAGTAAAAGTAGTAGCAGTTGTAGTAGTAGGTAGTGGTAGTAACATCAGTACAACAACTACAGCGAATAGTGTCGGTGCGCGCGTGTGTGCGTCGTCGGTCGTCACAACGGAATAAATGTGTTTACCGAAGAGTGAAAAAATAATAACAGAACGAGGTCAATATGGAAAGGCCGTCGTCGACGTGTTACCTGGCTATTGTGTTTTATTGCGGTTTTATCTCGTTATTGCTGTCTGGTACGTTTGCTCTAATATTTTCCGACTTTCCTTGCTACCTACGGTTCCTCTTGTTTGTTTGTCCACGTTGTGACGTGAACAGACGTGAGGCGAGCTGCTGATGACGCGCGTCATAATCCGAGCAAATGTTGAACCACTTGGCACCTGCCACGGTCCTTCCACTCGCAGCAATATAATATACGATTAAAAACCTTAATTGATTGTTATTATTTTAGATGTACACTGTTGACGTCAATAACAGTGTTTATCTTTGATTTTTTTTCGATATCAGATAAATAATAATAATATCTAAAAAAATTCATAAAATAAAAATTTAAGGTATATTTATGTCTTGCACGTATATAGGTACATTTTCCCATTATTGTATGTAGATATCAGTTGGAAAATATTTGTGGGATGTTTGTGTTCCATTCTCTAATTGTGTGACAGATGCTCATAATTATATTTATTCATATTCAAAAGCATGTTCTAAAATAATATTTCTAATAATCTTGTTAAAACCGTTTGAAATCCATCACTTTCTTATTGATAGTTGTTTGAGTTGTTTTATTTACCACTAAAATCACGAGTATCCGTGGATCTAAAACTATTTTATTAACCAATAGATTACAATTCAGTTATTAACCCTGATAAATGATTATACATTAGATGACCTAACTATACTATGTTAATTTAAATCATTTCATTTTAAATGTCTACAAAATATGAAGTACTTTTTTATTTGACTTCCTAAGGAGAAATGATCCATATTGATGAATTAATTGTTCCTTGTTTTTCTTGAGTTAATATCAGTTATAGAAATGGGTAGGTAGGTATATTAAGTAATTTATTCATTTAATAATGTATAGAATTATAGTTATTGTTTTTATCTACGATACAGTAATTATTTGATATTTGACTTTTTAGAAGATATAGTTGAATGAACATGTGAGCTCAAAAATCTAGTTGAAAAAGGGATGTTTTGTTTATTTACCAGAAACCCTTTTTTTTTATTTTTCACTTATGTAATTAACTATACTGAACACGATGGTGAAGTCAGAATTTGGTGGTTAGACTTAGTTTGAAGTTATGGCATAAAAAAGTTTGTTATTTTACGATTTTCATTCATTCGCTCATCATTCTTGTTTACTTATCTATTACGCATAACGAGGAGGACCTCGAGTTTGGTGACCAGAAGGGGTAGGCAAAGGGAGTCACTATATACTTATATTACTCATATTTAATGGCAAAATTTAAGTGTATAACTTACTTAAGTTGAGTTTATTCTCCTGTAGGCTGTAATAGTTTTTTATAAAATATTTGTCATTTGGATCATTTACAGTTATAAGTTTAATTTAAGATTGAAGCATTGATCTATATTTAAAAACTAATATATCCCCCTGGAATTTTCATATCACTAGACTGTCCGACTAAACAAATTCTGATCTCACCATTATTCTTAATTTTTTGTAGTACATAAATTTCCAAAAAAAAAAAATATTTGTAGGTTAGTAAACTATAACGATGTGGGAATGTGTAAAAATTGCAAAATACCAAACTTCATTAGGCCATAACTTAAAAATTAATTCTGACTTTACCATCGTTTTCAATATAGTTAACTACACAAGTCTAAAAAACAAATTTCAAATAAAGGGGCATCTGATAAAGTAACAAAGTTCCAAAAAAGGAAATAGTGTTAATACAGCTTTTTTTGCAAGAAATGTATACCTTTCAATTTGAATTAAGTTTTGATTGGTGCTTCTGCGACAAAAATTCATTAAATACATTTTGTCTTCTACTATGTTTTGTACTTAAAAGTCGAGATTTTTCAAAATGTATTCTCTTTGTAAATGTTCAGGTAAATGTATTCAAGGAAATTTTCAATAGGTACTTAGGTTTTTTCATTTTTTTTATATATAGTTATATATTTATATAGGTACCTAATGCTTGACAATAATAATATCATATTTTGATTGAATTTAGATATTTCCACAAAGTCGTAGAAAATTTTTTTAAATGGTTAAGTTAATTCAAATAAGTACCTACCTACATACATTGAAATATAATTTTACAGTAGGTATCATCTCTCTTATATTTTAAAAAGCATTCAAAGGTTGCTATTTATCCATTTATTTTTGATCTACATTCTTGATTTATTGTTTCAAGTTAGTATAATAACTAGCTTTTATATAGGTACAATGCTTTTATTTTTATTTGTTAATTTAGTATTCGTTTAGTACTCAGACTTATATAGGTACCACTTACATTTAATGTACTCATTATATCAATTTGTAAGTATGACAATGTATGAAATAAATAAGGTCATTGTTCAGACATTTTTATTTTTTATCATTATACGATAGGTATCTATTAAAGATAAATTTAAAAAATGTATCTAAGTAGTTACAACATGTTATTTAATCATAAATATGTGTCAGTGACTTAGCCAGGGATCTTAGGACGCTCTTCATAATATCAGGAAAATGTTTAAATGTTTTCAGTGTTCTGTAAACGTTTTAGGTAAATTTTACTATGTATTGAAGTTTGCAGTGAAGGTTGCAGCAACAGCCTGAATTGTTACATACCCTGCAAGGCAGTAAACGTATAAGTAATTTTATTAGTAAAGCTTTCCTTATACAACAAATTATTAGCTCCTCCTCACTAAATTCTGATAACATCACCGACAAGTTTTGCTCTAAATAAATCAATGTATTGCTAGGGGAAGCTGATCATTTATTGTATAAGTAGGTAAGTGTATTCATTGGTCTTATTTGGAAGATTAGCAACTGAACAAATGTTCTGTAAGAAATATAGATAGAAAGGAAATGTTATACAAAAGTGTAAAATTTTATGAAAAAAAATATATAGGTAGTGTTCAACATTTACATCCTCCCATACTACCTAATGTAATAGATGGCAGTGAGGAAACACAAACATAATACAACAATTGTGAGGGATAACAATATATTGGGTGGGGGCCATGGTATCCTCATTGACACTATGGCACTGTTTCCGTGTTGTGCAGTGAGTGTGCCATGTTTCTGTATGAATATCGTCATTACCTTCTAACTATCTACTGAAATAAGTATTTAAAAATGTGTTAACCACCTTAGATAAAATATGACTCATTGTGATTTTTACCAAAAATACATTGTTGATACTTGTGTTATATATATAGAATAAAGTACAAGAAAAATTGTGTTAAAATATTTTAATGTTTACAGTTTCCATAGTAAAGAATAATCAACTAAAAATTATCAACCATATATAATTCTCGTCATACATTATGTATTCAGTTTAGAATATTAAATATAAGTTTAAAACAAAAAACTTGGCTTAAAACTAAAAAACGTATGTTATGATATCCATTAGTTTAGAGTTTTCTAGTACCTATAAGGTTAAGACTTTTTACACAAAGTAATTTTTACATATTTTATGACTTATAACTTACCTTAGTAAATAATACATTATAAAAATAAAATATATCTTGTACTTGTTCTTATTCGAGTTTTTATACCTACAGTTATTACTTTAATGAAGTCGGGATTCAATCTTAGATTATTTACTAGTGATATGTTTTAAGAGGTTACTAGCTGATGGCTCCAATTGTCCCAATTTTCTGAGATAGGCACATTGTAAATTGTGTGCCTTTATAAACTATATTTACCTATATTAATATTAAACAATTTTTTTTTTTTGCTGCATA